CCGGATACAAGGCTGTCATTCAGAAGATCCCTGAGAGAAGTCTGGGAGTGACATTGCAGATCTTTTCCGGCGAAGAATGATGAGGCTTCCTTGCTTCCTCCACTTTTTTGTTGGGTGTCAGTCTCTCCTGGGAGGCAGCCATCATAGAATCCTCCAACGCTCTTCTGCCATCAAGCACTTGTTGACCCCTCTCTAACTTAACTTTCCCAAATTGTCTCCTGAATTCTCAGTCAGAAGAGGTTGGGGTCCAGTTCCCACCTCACAGCATTTACAGCAAGCTGAGAGACAGACCCAAGCTCTCTTTTCTCCTGTCCTCTTCTTGATAATAGGTTGGTCCAAGCTTGGGGACATTATTGTTTCTTCCTTTTATTTATTTCTATGTAGCCACCAGCTCGACCACTTTTTATTAACATTCACTTAAACCCTATTGTCCTCCACCTTCAAACCAAACAGGCCACACTCTTCGGGTGAAATGCAGGTATTAAAATCTTCTAGACAACTCAAGCAAACACATTTTAGGAAGGTCTTTGGTTCAAACACACAAAGTTCCTTCATTCTTTTCACCCCTCTTTTCAAGAGTGTAGAAATTGACTTTCTGTATCCTGACACTTGATATTAATATATTTGGGGCAGAACCGTTATCATTCTTCTTCTTCTTCTTCTTTTTTATAAACCGGCTGCTGAATATAAGTACATTTAGCTGAGGTTTCATTTGCATTCTTTCCTTGAGTTGCCCTGAATTAAATGGCTGTTCTTTTAACTTAAAACAGAAGTATTAAAACGCATTTGGTGCATTTCTGAGTCAAGGGTTAGACCGAGGGTGGGAAGGTCAAATGAATTGCGCATGCTTACACAACTGAAGGGCAGGTTAAAACAGTAACTGGAACATAGACGAGAATATCTCGAGTTCAACGTCCAGGGGGCACATCGCCTTCTTCACCCCCTACCCTCTTAGCCCTTTTGCAACCTCAGAATTTGTCCAACAGCTTTCATTTATTTTTCAATTAAAATGCAAATAACTCCCTTTCAAACAGTCTCCCCCTCCCCACGAATATAAACTTAGTAGTATATATATTTTGTAGAGATGCCCAGGAACCGTTGCTACCATGCGTTACACGGTTCACTTCTGGAGGGGAGGGGAACAGAGGGTGCTTGGAAAAGTCGAACTTCACTAGGGCAGGAGGACACGGAGGTCCCAGGTGGCCCTCAAGAGAGAACAAGCCCAGATTCCCAAGGGCATTTGAAAGCAGTGTGTTAAAATTGCCCGCAACAGAAACCCGCTTCCCACCTCCGCATCAGCTTGTCCAGGACTCGATCCCGAAGGTGGTTTTAACCAGGCACTCGGAGCCGAGGGCAGGGCGATCTCTCCGTGGGAGTGATCAGGGCAGCCCACACCCTCTGAGGACTTCCCCTCATTCTCCTTGCTCCGAGTCGGAGACCGACCCAACAGATCCAGGACAAACAGCACCCGCCTTCTAACAGCGGCCTGCGATGGGCGTCGGAATACTCGCTGCCCCCGGAGGGATTGAAGCACCCGGGGTTCACCCCCCGGGAATGAAGGTACACAGACCCCCAAATATTTTTATTGTTGTAATTAAAAACAATACTATTTTAATTCATCAATGTGCGCGATACACAAAAGCAAATGAAGGAAACTTAACATCCAGCTTTATAACTATTTACTGAAGGCGGTTAACCGGGAGTTGGGTTTAGTTCAATCTCTTCTATCTTCTCCGCCCCCACTACCTTCGGTTTTCTTTGTCTATAACACCCTCCTCCCCATTATCAGATAGTAAAATCGTAATAGAAAATACTCAACTCTTTCGGGTCGCTTTTTGAAATTGGAAAATTTCGTGATCACGGTTCTCTCTTCCTCTCAATTCCTACCTAGTCCTTGAGAATGCAGTTGTCCTGGAGGATCGGAGGAAGTCGCTGGAGGCCCAGACACGGGGTTCAGACAGGAGGTTCTGTGCCACTCTGGGAATGGCATGTCCAGAGGCACAAAGTTTCCGTAGTAAGGAAGGGAGCTGCTCTGGGGCCCCAGCTCCCAGACAAGGGCCAGGCTACACCAGGCTCCCTACTGTATCTTTCCAGCCAAGATAACAGGGTGCTGGGATTTAGATTCCAGAAGAGAATCTGGGTGGGGAAATGCAGATGGTGCCCATATCAGCTGTCTTCTGAGGCTAGAGTCTTGGCCTGCCTCCTTAGCATAATTCACATTAAGGAAGGTCTTCACCTTTCCCCGGGTCAGATGCTAAAGTCTATGAAATGATGGATTTAACCAAGTCCTGAGTTTAATAAAGAAGGGTGGAGGAGAAAGAGGAGGGTCAAATAACTTTATTTTTATTTAAAAAAATGAATAAAGTGGCAAAAGATAAATAATCCCTTTTTTCCCTCCAAATCTTCTCCCCAAATCTGAGACACAACTTGAAACTAATACCCTTAAATGTCTAGAACTTCTTCAGAAAGGGAGTAAGCTCCCTGGGTTTTTCCTCCTTGGATCCATAAAAGCACTTTGGTGCTCACAGCCAGCTCCATCCATTCCTGGTGCTGCTCAAGTTTCATTCTTGGACCATTTATTGCATTTATTTCTGTTTCTTGAACAATACGTTTGGATTTAATGATCTGTCCAAATTTCTGTCATGACCACTTTCCAACAGTATTGCTTTAACAACCTGAATTCTCAAAATTGTCGTCCTATACACAGTTTGGTCCTGCTGGGAATTTAAAAACCGGTCAGAAATGGAAGAGATTGAAAGGGAGTAAAAACTACTGCTTAACGCCTAAACTGTAAATACTCCTTTATCACAGTCCAGAAGCCAGGCATCCCCATCTTCTGCAACAATTTTGGAACTGAGAGCAGGGGCCAGTTTCAAAGAGGGGTTTGAAAAGCTTACAGTTCTTGTTCAGTACCCAGATACTTGCAAAATCTCGGCTTAGATCGTGGTGACTCTGCCTCCATGTAAACCCCAAACAAGTAACAATAATAGTCAAAGAGAAGAAAAGTTGTTTTTTTTTTTTTTAATTTTAAATCCCCCTGTTCTAAGGTTTAAACATCACAGGAAAGATAGATATTCCCCTTAAGCTGATTTCGTTCCCAGAAAATTGAGCAAACTCTTAAATGATAACCATCGCGGGGCACTCAGGAATGAAAAAAAAAATGGAGAAAACAGAGAAGGAAGGCGGGAGGTGGAAAGATGGAAGAGGACCATCTTTCGGCCTACAAGGGGATTAAAGACATCTATAGGCTTAAGGAACAACAAATTAATTTACCCAATTCTAGCGGAGCCCAGATGGCCTTTAATTAATCCCTTCAAAAGAAGGAGCCAGGCCAGGGCCGCGCCGGCTGCCTGCTCCATTAGTTCCATTTTATAAGGGTCCAGACTCGGTTCGAGGTGAGGCGCCGAGAGCTGGTGGGGGAAGCGGGTAAGATGACGCGAGAGGGCGAGGGGGATGCAAGGAAAGAATATGAACTGCTTTTCCATAAAAGGGCTGGGTTTTTATTATTCTCTTTAAAAAGTAATACCCTCTTCGTCTCTACTTCCCCCCTCCCCTTTCCCACTTTATTTAACACAATTAATTGAGACTGCCACTGGCCCCACAGCCTAACCGCACCGCTCGCCAGGTCCCGCCCCTCTTTGCTCCGCCCACGGGACTCCAGAGGTGGGAGGGGGAGGGGACTAGGTAGGCGCGGCCCTACGGCTCTCTAGCCTTAGCCAATCAGAGGACGTGGCGCTCACGACTGGGCGTAGCCCAGGGGAGCGACGTCAGGTTCCAAGCTGAGCGCTATTGGAGGCGGTGATTACGCCCCTGGCCTGAGCCCTCCTCCTCGTCCCCGCCCCCTCTGCCCCCTCGGAGTGACGTCCCTCAAAGTTCTCATTTTGGCCCCCACGTCCSCCTCCTTTTCGTCCCCCAGCTAAAGAGCGGTAGGAGTGATGCAAATGTTTTATTACCTTTGAGAGCTTCATCCGAACTGTCAGGCCCGGAGGGAGAGAGGAGAGAGAGTGAAAGAGCTGTGGAGAGGGTCAGTTTGGCCAGAGGACAGGACTTAGAAGAACGAACGAAGCCTGTAAAGCAGCGAAGAAAATGCGAGAGAGTCGAGTCAAAGGCGGAGAGTGAGAGGAAAACTGGAGGTTGCGGGGGTGGGGCGGGGGTCTTCAGGCTCGTTGGCAGAAGTAGACCGACTATTGGAGCCGTAACCAAACCGTCCGACTTTTCACACTTAGTCTTTGTTTTTCTGGATTTTCCCCCTCCCCTCTTCTTTTCAATATCGCAACTCTAGTGCCAGTGGCCCAGAGGGGAAGGCGGGTCGGCGCCGTGGAGAGTGGTGGCACTGCCCCTTCTGGCGCAGCAGCTCGGGGCAGCGCCGGCGGAGGCAGCTCGCCCAGAGGCGAGATCCTCCCGAGGGCTGGATGCGCTTTCTCCCCGAGCGCAACCCGCGTCCAGTGCGAATCAGTAGCGCAGTGGAAAGAGCGGAGAATCTGAGTAAAATTAGAGGAGCGCAACCGGCGGCATCCGGCGTCCTTTGAACCTCCCCAAAGAAAGCGAACCAGCCCCCACCCTCCAACATCAAAGTGGAGATTCGGTGACTCTTAACTTTGTTACAAACTCTCGGGGGCCTGCCTGGGTTTTGTTTTGCTTATTTCCCGAAGGGGTAGGGGGGAGAAGATGAGAAGTAGCGCACTTTGAGTGATGAGGAAGTGAGAAGAGCCGGGGATTGAATCCAAGACTCTTGGAGCGAAAAGACAGTCGGTCCCACCCGGACACCCGCTTGTCTCCGCGACCCTCCGCCTCCCGCGTGGCGGGTTTGGACATCTCTACTGCGCAGCACCGAGAGCAACTCTCGGCGGGGGCGTTCTCGGCCCAGTTGGCAGGTCGCCTCCGAGTGCGCAGATCGACTCTTTGCTAGCGCCCTCGGCGCTTCTGGCTCTCCTGAGCCCCGCTGGGGGCACGGGCCGGCGCCCTCGCTGCGCCGCTACGGGCTCCGGCCTGGCCGTGGGATGTTAGCAGTGGGGGCGATGGAGGGCACCCGGCAGAGTGCATTCCTGCTCAGCAGTCCGCCCCTGGCCGCCCTGCACAGCATGGCCGAGATGAAGACCCCGCTGTACCCCGCCGCCTACCCCCCGTTGCCCACTGGCCCCCCTTCCTCCTCGTCCTCGTCTTCCTCGTCCTCGTCGCCCTCCCCGCCTTTGGGCGCCCACAACCCCAGCGGCCTGAAGCCCCCAGCCGCAGGGGGGCTCTCGTCCCTGGGCAGTCCCCCGCAGCAGCTCTCGGCCGCCACCCCACACGGCATCAACGACATCCTGAGCCGACCCTCCATGCCGGTGGCCTCTGGAGCCGCCCTGCCCTCAGCCTCTCCCTCTGGTTCCTCCTCCTCATCTTCCTCGTCAGCTTCTGCTTCCTCCGCCTCTGCGGCGGCTGCCGCTGCTGCTGCGGCCGCGGCAGCTGCCTCATCCCCGGCTGGGCTGCTGGCCGGCCTGCCCCGCTTCAGCAGCCTGAGCCCACCACCGCCGCCTCCTGGGCTCTACTTCAGCCCTAGTGCAGCAGCCGTGGCCGCGGTGGGCCGGTACCCCAAACCACTGGCCGAGCTGCCCGGCCGGACGCCCATCTTCTGGCCAGGAGTGATGCAGAGCCCGCCCTGGAGGGATGCACGCCTGGCCTGTACCCCTCGTGAGTATGATCGCCAGGGTCCTGGTGAATGTGCTTTGTGCTTGTTCTGTCCGTTTTCAGGTCGTGGCCCTTGGTGTGCACGCCGTTCGGTCCTCCCTCTTGCCCGCCCTAGTAAGTCAGCAGTGCTGGAATCAAGGCTTTCCCCCTTTCCTCAGCTGGCATTCAAGCGTCTCACTGTCCCCAAGTCGTGGCACGTGAGCCCATGTGCGTGTGTCTGTGGTGAACATAACTCGATGAGCGTGTGTCAAGTCTGAGGCCTTGGCTGATCCTGAAACTGTGTAGCTGGGACCAGAGGCCCAGTCTGGGTTAGAGATGGGGAAGGGGGAAAGACCACTGTGAACCTACCCACCACTGCCGCTTTACCGGCTACTGCCTGCCAAACAGGCCCCCGTTTCGCCTTCGCCAATCTGACCCGCCGCCTCTCTGCAAATCGGTGAGGACAGGCAGCAGTGAGCTCTCCACCGCCCGAGCGAAGTGCGTGTATTTGCATGCCTGTCTCCGCCCTGGACGTCCCCACCTTACCTTTTCGCCTCCGCCACCCAGTACACTGAGCCACGGTGAGCCTATGGAAGACAGGCCAGCGGCCCTAGAGGGGGACCGGCGCTGAGGGGCTAAGGCAGTTCTTACTGCCGGCCTTGCGCTTTCCCACACATCTCGCCCCCAGGGGTCTGGAACACATTGAGCCCAGGCAAGCTAAGGGGCCTGGTGGCACTAACAAACTGAAAGGAAGAGCCAGGGGACGAATGAGGTTAAGAGGCTTAGGAGCAATGTAACATCCAGCAAAGACCTTGCCTGAGGCGACTGAGTTGCCCTAAGATTTCAGTAGTCTTCTGGGTAGTGGCCACCACACGGCGGCGAAGGCTCTCAGCCTTCCAGGTGGCGTTCAGGACCCAGCTTTGGGCCTTTTCTACTCTGCTCTTTGCTTTGGCTCAGTTCCCAAAGTTTCTCTAAGTCTCCGAATCCCTTTTCGTGAGGCTGAACTGTAGTAACTGCAGGAAGTTGCGGGAGCCAAGCGGAGGCTCCCTTGGGAAGTCCCGGGACAGCGGGCGGCGGAGGCTGGTGGGGGTGTCAGGGAGACCTATTGTATCGGTTTTGATAGCCACGTAGGGGCCGCCAACAAAGGCGGTGCCCCCTCCTCTCTCCCCTTGGGCTGCTGCGGCGTTAGACTGGGGGGCGATTTAGCTCTCTTCTGTGCATAAACAAGGAGCCCTTTGTTGCCGGGACACAGGTTAGGGAAGCGTTAAAGCAAGAAAGAGAAAAAAAGAAAAGAAAAAATGGGCAAAACTAGTCATACCCCCGCAAAGGCTCGGGTCCGATGCAAACCAACTGGACCAGGAGGCAATCAGAATAGTCTTAATCTCGCACACCTCCTTAATTTGCGCAGGCTTCGCGATTTGGCCCCGAAAAACTTTAGCAGTAGACTCCCTAGCTGTTTGACATTGGTGTTGTGCAGAAGGTATTTACTGCTGCTCCCAACACGCCCAGCTTTTAAAAAACAGGTGGGTGTAAAAGGCAAACCGAGAACCTCTGTGGGACTGGAAACGCCACACGTCTGGTGCACGTTTTCTTTTCCCACCAAAACATTGTTTTTCGATTTTTTAAAAAAATTCCCCAGTGGAGCCCCTTGTAATCCATTGTTTCCTCCCTCCCCTCGTTGTTTATGGGTTCTTGCAGATCAAGGATCCATTTTGTTGGACAAAGACGGGAAGAGAAAACACACGAGACCCACGTTCTCTGGCCAGCAGATCTTTGCTCTGGAGAAGACCTTCGAACAAACGAAATACTTGGCTGGGCCAGAGAGAGCTCGCTTGGCCTATTCGCTGGGGATGACGGAGAGTCAGGTCAAGGTGAGTGGACCCTGTAAACCTCCATGAATAGGCCCTGTACCTTGGGTCGCATGCGTTTGCAAGGGGACACACACACACACACACACACACACACACACACACACACACACACCAAACTGCCACAGGGATGGGGGGGGGGCGGTATCAGTCTGAGTAGCCTAGGGAGAAGTTAAGAGAAGTGAAGGGGCCTGGGGTTACAAAGACTCTAGGTCTTGCCTGAGGACACTGTTGATGAATGAACAAAAGGAATCTAGTTCCAGACTTTGAAATTAGGTTAATCTAGATAGTAGCACGAACCAGAGGAAGTCGTCATTATTAGAGAATAAAAGTATTAAGGAAATATAAGTTCAGAGAATAGATCAGGCCAGTTAAATAGCTTCTACTTACTCTTTTTATAAAAACATTCAAATTCAGGATTTTGTCAATTTAGGCTCTACTAGTAATATAATTTTCTAATGTAGATCAGCATTACAGTTCTCCTATATTAACTTGCAGATTAAAAATTAAATCCACAGATCTACCACTTAACCGCCTATGAACCTGCTTTTAGCTTAAAGGCATCAGTTTTGAATAGTGATTTTTCTAAATGAATTGACAAATTTATTACTGTATTATAGGTTGAATTCTGTTTAAAACAGATTTATCAACAGATTTAAGATATTGCAGTTTATGGCAACAATTTGTAATTAAAATGTCACATGGCTTATAATTGAGTTATATAGTATATTTCTAGGGAATCAAATTTTAGAAATCTTTTCCTGAAAAATAAAGAGATTGAGCCAGTTGTGTAAATTCAATCTGTTTCCTGTATTTTCAGTATTTTGTTCCTCTCTTTCAGTTTCTTGTAGTTGTTTCTTTGGGATGTGTGTCTGCTTTCATTATATTGTTTCTTTTTAAATTAAGTAGGAATAGCATTAATAATGCCTGCTGGTTAGAATGTATTTCCTCCTGGAAAAACATCATAACATACATTTTAGGAGTGATTTTGCATGTGGCCATTACAATACCATCACATTTGAAATTATTTTTTTCTATGGGCTGGTATAGACCCTATCATAATAATCTGGAGGTCTTCGTGTGTCACTGTAAATGTCTGCATGGCTAGACGTGAATTTATTGCAGTATAAAGGAAATCAAAATCACTTTTAAAAAATAATTCTGATTCTCTGGATTAAATACAGAAAAGATGGTATGCATAAAAAGGATAATTTGATATCATTGGAAGATCCCTTGCTTATTGCTGATGCTTTAGGTTAAAATATGAGTATCAGAGACATCAAATATTAATAGGTTTAAAAATATTTGTATATAGAATCATGTCTTCAGTAGGAGCAATATTAAAACAATGTTTGAAAGAATAGGAGGACAATAGAAAATAATGTAATTGGCAACATTTCACATTTAAAAAATGACAGATAACAATACTAGTTTTCACTTACATCGAAGGGGCAGGGAGGGAACTTATCTACAATGTTTGTGACATTCAGGTCTAAAATAAGTGAAACAATTAAATGTCCAAAAGCAAAAAGGAGAACAGAGGTGATTGGGGTAAATGCTATGCCTTTTCCCACAAATCACACTGAAAAGCAAGTATACTTTAAGTTGTTTGGAATCCCTTAATCTAAGAAGGTAAATAAGGAAAATGACAGCCTCTGGGGAAACCTTAGGAAAAGGGGGGAAAAAGTTTTCTACTTCAAGCTAGAAAGTAAGAGGGCGAACTCATTTTTAGGGAAACTTATTTTAAGTTTCCCAAGTTTTTTTTTTTTTTTTTTTTTAACTCTTCTGAGAAATCACTCACAGACAACCTCTTGTGTTACTATTGCTATGGCAACGGCAATCAGTTTGTTGGTGCCTGTTACTCTGGGGAACCCGGGGCGATGGAGACTGACTTGGACGGTGCAGACAGGGGAGGTTTCTCAGGGAGGGCGAAGGCCGTAGGGGCCAACTGGAGGAACCCCGAGACGTGGGAGCGAGGTCGCCGCCTGCGTCTGCTCCGGTTAAGTTCCTCGCGCCCCCCGTCTCCCCGTCTCCCCTCTGCTTCCCTTTCTCGGTGCCTCAGGTCTGGTTCCAGAACCGCCGGACCAAGTGGAGGAAGAAGCACGCGGCCGAGATGGCCACAGCCAAGAAGAAGCAGGACTCGGAGACCGAGCGGCTCAAGGGGGCCTCGGAGAACGAGGAAGAAGACGACGACTACAACAAGCCTCTGGACCCCAACTCAGACGACGAGAAAATCACGCAGCTGCTGAAGAAGCACAAATCCAGCAGCGGCGGCGGCGGCCTCCTGCTGCACGCGTCCGAGAACGAGGGCTCGTCCTGAGCGCGGGTCGCCGGCCCCCGTCTCCCGGCTGCAGCCTCCGCGGCCGGGACCCCGCCTGCCCGCGCCTCGGGCCCGGAGGAGCGGCCCGGCCCGCGGGGCCCTTTACTATTTTCTGAGATGTACATATCTATTTTTTTAACCTAGAAGTTGTGGCGGGTTGGGGGCTGAGGAGAGAGACTCGGGGGTGGACCGGAGAGCAAACCAGAACCCCAAGGCACTGCAGAAAGAACGCAGCGGGACCCCGCAGCCGAGCCGCCGCCCCACCCAGCTCGGGTCCCCAGACCCGTCCGCGCCGTCGCACGCCTGGGTCTCCACTGTTCCCCTGCTTTTGCCTCCTTCCGCGGGCGGTCGGGTCGGGGCGCTGAGGGGTGCTTTTGAAGGGTTGACACTCACCGCGCGGGGGACCTCGGAGCCACGCGGGCGGGCGGCCGCCACAGACGGGAAGAGGGACATTTCTCCCCCTATACACTGCTGTGCCGACTAAAGTAACCTGTTGAAGGCTCTGTGTAAATAAATCGTGAGTCACACTGACTAGAAGTTACTTTATTGTGAATATTTAAAATGTAAAATGCTTTTTTGAATTTGTTATAAATCGATGGATTCCCCCCTCCTTTCCTCCCTTCCCCTTTTAAGAGCTATTCACACCACACATCCCCTTTTTATTTTTAAAATTAAATTGGGAATCCTAGAAAAGAATGTCATCATCCTTCCCGGACCCGGCTGCCCTCACTCCTTTTCCGGGTTTGGTTTTGTGGAACCTCACTTTTCCTCCTTGATCCTTTCCCGTGCTGTCCTGCCCACCCCCTGGTCCTGCACCGGGGCCCCGCCCCCCGGACTTGAAGCTGAAGTCGTGGGAACTCGGGAGGACCTCACACCTGCCTCTCCGATTCCCCCTGAAATTGCACAGTCGTTTGTTGCTATTTATTAGTGATTTAAAGAAAGTATTGGGGAGGGAGGGACTACAATAGCTTGTATTTAATTTAACTCCATTCTGATAAAAATGCGTGTTAAAGTAGATGGTGGGAATTGTTACAACCGCTCTGAGTACGAACATAAAAGTCCATTTAGTTGCTGTAATTGAATTTGAAGTGTTTTGTATCATAAGAATACTATAGAATATGTAAATTGTTTTCTTTTTTAAGCTAATAATGGTGATATATTAGCATCTTTAACCTTTATTAATTTATATAAGGAATTCGGTTTGTAAAGAGAAGAAACCCCACCCCCGCCCCCTTTGCAAGACCAGTTAAATGTAATGCACTTTCTGTTTCAAAGGATAAATCAAATTAAAAAACAGTTTGAAGACGTCTGTTGCCTTGAATGAAAGGGTACAGATCATCTGATCTCATTGGAGATCTCAAATAATAAAAGTCAAGACCACAGGAAAAAAAAATGTTATATCGGTTTCTTGGGTGAAATAGTTGTTACTTTTTTTTTCTTCGTGGAAAGAGTGGGCTTCACATCTCTTATTCTCCTGCTTTGGGAAGATAAAAGAAATGCAGCCCTGATTTTTAGCGCTTCTTGCATAGTCTTGTCTAGCGGGCTGCTTCTGATGTCTGTGTTGTCTCATATTTTCCTGATCGCTTTTTCCTGGTGAGGAAATCTCTGGGGTACTTGGAAGACCTCATTTTCATATATCCAAGATCGCTCCTCAGCCCCTGGTTCCATTAGCTTAGAGTAGGCCCTGGAGCTCCCTGATACTAATACTACTGTTTGATTCCCCCCACCCTACCCCAGTAGCGGTGCAGAGAATTGTGGAAAGATGGGAGCTCTGACTTTGCTAAACATCACTATGAAGAAGGATGAATTTGAAGATGGAAAAGTCTTGAGGGTTAAGGAAGCAAAGCCTTAGTTTCTTCAGTTGACATGAGGAAGGGGGAGAAAAAGTGTGTGCATGGGGGGAAATCCCATGGAGAAGGCTTTTTGTTTTCAGACTCTCAGTTATATGCCCAGTGAAATATTGTTATCCCCTTAGTGGTGCAGGTTAATGAGCTTGTGCTCAAAGAGAGAAAAATCAATAGAATTCAGCAGATTCTTCAGGGTAATGTAGGTAAAGAAAGTGTGGGTTTGTTTTGTTTCTTAGAAAATTAAAAAAAAAAAACAGGTTAAAACTGAATTTTCACAAATTCAATAAGATGAAATTACCTGAAGAAAATTATTGTAGAATATATACCCACTAGCATGGTTTAATAGGGAAAAAAAAAAAAAAGGATGAAAACCTGCCCTGTCTTTTTTCTCTCTAGTTTGTGAAGTTCCCAGGAAGTTTCAAACTCTTCTGAATTTTTGTCTAAGCAAGACTAAGGTATGTGTCCTAAAGAGAGGCAACTATTCAAAGAAGACTATGCTATACTGGACGATGTAATTTAAATCCTAGTTGTAAACAATAAGAACTAACTAACTAACTAAGCCCTCACCTCTTTTTCTTTTCTCCCTCACTCTCTACCTACCTTCTTCTCTTTCCCTCCTCCCTCCTTCCTTCCTTCACTTCTTCCTTTTCTCTACTCCCTTTATTTTTTTTTAAATAAAAGAACCGAGGAAGAGGCAAGCCTATTATCATGCAATTGTACTTTATTGCAACAAATAAAAACCTTTTCTTTTTTATTTTTAAACATTTACCTATCCATCTTCAGTCTTAAAAGGCCAAGCAACATTTTATTTATTCTTTCTTCCTAAGAAAACAAAATGTACATATAAGTAGAAATGTTATTTCTAGGCTGGGATGATGATGATGATAATGATAAAAGGGGGAGGGCCTAGTATTGTTTATCCATAGAAAACATGGAGCTAAGATTGAAGCTTTTTCTCAAGAACTAAATTGGTTGGTAGTTAATAATATTTATTCTAAGTTAGAAGTGTGGAAAGGCACTTCTCACAAATCCTTTAGGAGGCATCCCATCTGAGCTCTTCACCTTTGAGCATTTGAGAAGTGTGAAAGCCAGTGTCCTGGACTCTACCCCACAAGCAAATGTGTGGAGGGCAGAGGGTCTTCATGCTTGCCACACTGAGTGCTGATGTGCTGGGAGTTAAGTGGGCAGCCCCCAGAGCCATACTCTGGGTCCATGCTGTACTGGCACCCTCTCCTTTTTTTCCAGTTGACTGCAGCTGTGACTTGAGGTTTCCAGTTAATTTACTTCTATCCAGAACTCCAGCTGGCCACCAGTTATAACTGGCTCCATGAAACTGGGAGGAAGGGAAAAGAGGAAGGTGGACACCTAATTCCCTTTATCTTGGTTGGTTTGGTTTAGTCCTATGTATGTGCAACAAGAACAGCTTTTCCGTGAGAGTTAGCACAGCGGGGGAAGCTAACTCTCCAGCTCAAGCAACAGAGGCTAAGATAAATTTTTTATTTTGGCTCACAAATTTTATGGCATTAACAACTGTAAGTATCCGATTAAGACTGCCAACCAACCAATACAGTTAAAGGGGCCATGATTTTAAAACAAAACAACAAAAAGTCACAGCAAGTGACTTGAGATACCACTTTTTTTTTTTTTTTTAAATGCTCATAGGCAACAAAACGTCAACAGTGAAAGACAAAAGAGAATGTGTGTGGTGAAAGGGAGGGTGAAACTGGCCTTTTGATTTTCATTGTGTTTCTTTCCCTAAAAAGGAAAAGTCAAGGAGGCAGCCTGAGGGATATGGAGTGGAAGGAAAGGGCCCTGGACATGTCTCTCAGATGTCTCAGCAGCATTCACTTCTCCTGCTCACTGTGCTGAAGTGCAAGCTCAATTCTCCTAGTTGGTGATTTATTTTCTTTTTGGTTCACTCTCAGGATTCTGAAACTCAAAGCTCTTTCCCCAGAAGCTGTTGTGCATTCAGCATCTTTCCAAAGCTTGTGAGCACTTTAATCTACCTTCTCTTCCCTACTGGAGAGATAGCAGGAAGACAGGTAAGGGGAAATCATTCTCCAGAATTCCCTCACTGCTCAGAGTCTCTGGTCTGTTTGAAGACAGTTCTTCTTGGAAATACTCCTGAAGGTAACAGACTAGGGGTGCATTTGAAACCCTTTGGAGTCTAATATCATGTAGATGAGTATTTTATTAAATCAGCATCAACTTGGAAAGAGCCCCATTGCTCTGTCCTTAAGCTGGCGATTGGAGGACACACACACACACACACACACACACACACACACACACACAGAGAGAGATTTGAGATGAAATTCCACTTGGGAACTCCTGGCACTGAATAGCTTAAAGAGACAGTGGATCCTTTGTTATTCATTGACAATAGTACTGTGTAATAACAACAGAGGTAAATGGTAGATTTCATCTAAAAACTCTATTTTAGACTAATTTGAACAGCTTTCTCTGCACTAAATTTCCTCCCTCTTACCACACACACAGATACATGCAAAGTATTCCTCTCCCTTCTCAGTATGACTTTTTTTTTTAAGCTGGTTTTCCAGTACACTTACTTTTTTGACAGAAAGTGTGTATTTTGTTCTGCAGCATTTAGACTACAAGCTTTAGAGAAAAACATTCTCCCTAATGTAGTCCTTCTTAAGATCTGTAGAAAACACAGTAATACAAATCCCTCATTTATTAATGGAAAATTGGACTGGAAAGTAGTGGCAGTGTGAGCAGAATGACCAAAGGGATGGGGTGTGTTCCTGAAGTATAGCCTTTGGCATCCCAGAGATGGTCCTGGAGTTGTTCCACAAACGGTAAAGTTTATCTAGGAGCGTTTGCTCTCCCTTCAGTCACCAAAGATGAACTGTCTAGATGTGCATCCTTTGTCCTGTTGCCCTAAAGTAGACTTTTCTATTGAATCCTATACTCAAAGATGCAACAAAGTCCAGCCTAATGTCTCCCTGGTGTTCAGTATCTACTGGTGTTCAGCCAGATTCTGAAGTCAAAGCCTCTTCCAGGGCTTCTATTTCCATACACTTTGAATAATAAGGGCTAGTTTGGATGACACACATTCACAGCTGGAGCCTTTCCTATTGTAAGAAGAGTGTTTTTACTATGCAATTTAAATAGGTGCACTATATTTTATAGAGAA